CAGCTGACCCAACAGCCAGACACTGGTGTTTTTTTCTTTTCCATGTATACGCAGCGATGGTGAATCATGAAGTCAGAACAGCAAAGACCTGGTTAAAGGGAAGCAGCACACAAGCTAACGATCTCCCAAATGCTGGATGAACAGAATTTAAATATAATTAAACTTAAAAGGCCAGAGAAGCATGTGCTTTTGTTGTGCCCTGCTACATACTGTCTTCAGAAGAGTAGCACCACCAAGGGGAAGGAAAAGCAATACCTTCTACAATAAGATCACAAATCAAGAGAAGCCTCTTTCCTCCCCCCCAAAAAAAGTTCTCAAAATAGCCCATATTTCTGTCTAGTTATTCAATTGCTTATCATGCAGAACCACTTCTGTTCCAAGTTTGGCAGGTTTCTTAATTTTTTGTGGATCATTTACATTTGTGGTTTTTTGGTTTTTTTTTTAATATAAAAAGCATCCATAGTCGTAGAATACCCTGTTTTGGTGGATATGAAGCTGATGCTTATGCAGTGTTTGTTATTCAGGTTTTTTTTGGTAACAGTGCACTGACTTGCACAGGATTTCTGCTGGGGAGGTACCAGCCTAGGACTGACAGACAAGCTCTGAGGATAGACAGAGCAGCCAAAAAGCCTCTCAAAGAATTCAGCAGAAGCAATTGCAACCCAGCAAGGGCATGGTCTTTGTAGTGTGCTTTTTGGTTTTCAAATTAAAGGCATTGTAGAAATGAAAAATACGTCAAGACTGCCTTTCAGTTCATTATCTCCACAGATCATTACCCTGAGCTAGCACTCACCGTTTAACCCTCCTCCCTGTTCAGTGCTGTTCTCCAACCACCACCTACTTTAGGAATATTCAGCTAGAAAACATTTCTTTTTAAAAAATGAGAAGTTGAAAAATTGAACAAATCAGTACTCACACCAAACACAAGTTTAGAGGAAGATGTGTTATGTGTAGCTACTTGGTCAAGGTTTTCAGATGCAATAAAATTTCTGCCTCTTCTGGTTTTGAATATTGAGCTTGAAATGTCTTAAAGGTATTGACTTCTAAATGAGCCTGTCACCTTTAACTACACTGGAAAAAAATAAGACTTCAGATAAATATTGTAATTGTGTCCATTATGCCTCTTATGGATATAGTTTAAATATGACACACACAGGAAAGAGGATCCTTGTCTGTGCAAAGCTTCCCTGCATTATTTTAAATTCACATTTTATATCCTAACTTGCCACCCTCATCTTCTATTTAAACACATAATTTTCTCCCACTCAATACATGTTTCATATGATCCATTTTGTTTTATCTGAAAATATTTCACCAATGTGTTATCATGTATAGCCTGGTTAAAGAGAGCAAACAAATGCCCCAAGCCACTGGGATGACAGCTAAGTGTCACTAACAGCTGCCAAACAGAGAGGAGGCTTTAGCTTTATGACACATTGAGGATGTGTCAAAATATATATAAAAAAACCCAAACATTTACAGTTAACCATATTCATTCATTACTGAATATTTCCTGACTGGTAAGTTTCTCGAAGAGTAAAAGACTTATAAACTAATTTGTTGCAAATATTTGATTTAATACACAAGTGATGACAAACTATTTCCCCTGCTTGAATGATTAACTTTGAAAAAAAAGTTTTAAGTTTACATTTTATAACTTTTTAAAAAAAAAACATTGTCACAGGTTCCTGACATTATACTAGTAATCCTGATTATTGGTCTAAAATAATGTAATCACAAGAGGAAAAAAGCAAAAGACCAAAACACAGAATTTTTTTTAAAAATGGAAGTGGATATTTCCTGGCAGCAGCTTTGTTAGCAACTTCTTTACAACAAAGATAAATGTCATGCTCAGATGTCCTACTGTTTGCAAGCAGTAACCTGAAGATGTCCAAACCAGAAAATGTTTTATTTAACACTACAGGGTAAAAGGATGTATTTTGAGACCATTGCAAATCTATGGTTGGAGAGCAGTCCGAGGTGACCCAGCAGATTGCAGTGCTGGTGTCCAAGTGGACACAGCTCCACATCCAGCAGCCACCACCTTCTTACTAAAGACAGTTAATGCACAGCTTTGACAAAAAATAATTGGAGTCCTTGCCCTTTTAAAAGGGGTTTTCTCTTGAAACTTACACTCCCCAGATGGCACTATATAGTATAAGTCAGTTCTAACACCCTGATGATCTTACACCCTGTCCTAGCTATGTATCTACAATTGCAAATTGCATAACACAGTAATTTAGTCTGCTACAGCATTTGAGAAGAGGCCATGTCATGCATGTCTTTTGCTCTTTGCTTGGAATTAATGTTAATCCCAGATGGTCCTTTTGTTAGATAAAATGCTGCACAGTTTCAAATAAGTTTCTCAGAGATTTAGCTTTATTTAAAAAAAGATTTAAGTTGAGCTTGAAGGAATCTATATTCTGTAAACTCACATTGATGAACATTAATTCTTATTCCAGAGTTCACGTCAAATCAATTTCTGCATCA